TGCTAACCAAAAGGTTGGCAGTTCAAATCCACCAGCCACTCCTTGGAAACTCCATGGGGCAGTTCTACCTTGTCCTATAGGGTCGCTATGAGTTGGAATCAACTTGACGGCAATGGTTTTTTTTTTTTTTTTTGGGGATGATGGGGGAAGCAGAACATGGTAGAAAGAAGGGATAACTAACTAATGAGACAGGGGCTGAGGTGAAAGGACTCTCAGGGCTCCTGGCCTGAAAGATGGATGTAGATGTAGATGAAGGCGAAAACTGAGGGCAGGAGGTGAGCGAGATTTGCTCAATGGCCTCTTTATTTTTTTTTCTGGCTGAATTGGGAAGAAAATTGTCTGGAGTGGAAGGGCCAGCATCTGAGGGGATTGGGGGTAGAGATCAAGTGGCCTGGACGAACCGCCACGGCCAAGGTCCTTTCGGGGTAGGGAATAGGGAGAACAGCCTGGAGAGGAGCTGAGTCCTGGAGTTGAAGAAGTATAGTGGATATGACGCCAGGAGGACAGAGGTTGTGATTAGAGGGTGGGTTCCTGAAGGCCACAATTTCTGAGGTGGGAGGGCCCCCGATGATGACCAGGGCCTGACCAGGCCAGGGTGGGGGACTTGAGTGAAGATTGCTGGAGGCCAGGGCAGGAGCTGAATGAGAGGGAACCTGGGCCCAGAATCCTCAGTGAGTAAGGGGTTGGGGGGAGGGAGGGCACCATGTACCAGGTTGGGATGCTGGGGCAAGGAGGAGTAAGGTCTAGCAGGAAATGTGTGTAGACAAATCCGGATTCAGGGCCTTCTTTACTGTGTCTTCTTCCCCAGCATGTCCAGTTTAATATGCTCAGGGTCAGTGCTGTCACTAACGTCAAGTCTCTTCTTTCCACATTAATTAAGGAACCACAGCACAGATAACGATAAAAAGAAAAAAATTGGTTTGGGGTCCATGAAATAACACAATACTTGCATTTGTGTTATTCTGATGTTATCTCATATGACCCCACAGCCAAGTGGAGAACCATTTATGATTTCTGATATCCTAGGAAATTAACCCCTTTGACACCAGGATGCCTCTGTTCTTTGAGAATTCTTCTCATCAGGAGCTGGAAAGCAGCACATCTGCTCCCCGCAGACCTCACACTCAGCTCTGTTAGTCTCCGCTCTTCCCTCTGCCACTGCTAGCCAGTATCACCTCTCAGATGGAGGTGAGCAACCCCAGGCAGACTCGCCTATCTTCCTTTTTAAACATATGCCTTCCCTAGGGCAGTGGAGATTTTTTTTCCTACAAAAACTGTCCTCTCCAGTTGACATAAGGCCACAGCCATTGGAGGTAGTGAGAATCAGCAGAGGTGGTGGGTGCTGTCAAGAAACTGTTGAAAGTAAGGCCAGCTGTGGAGCACTCGAGAAACGACTTATTTTCAGTTTCATCTTCTATCACTCCCCCATACACCCACTTACAAGATTCTGGTGACCCAGTATTTCTTGCTGCTCTCTTCAGGCCTGCAGCGTATGGTTGCAAGCCCTACTTCTATGGGGGGCACTATTCACAATACAGAAAACCAAACGCCTTGAGTCATGGACACTGTAGAGTCGTATCTTTATTATGACAAGGTTCTATAAGGTGACAGTAAAATGCCTTGAGGGAGGGGATGGGGCATATGAGCTAGCACAGCTCTGGCTTTCTGTGCTCTGCACATTTGAAGGTGGTGTTTCTGTGATCTGGTGTGCCCCGCTCCCTCTAGCCTGTCTGATCAACTTAGTCCCTCACCCTTCATGATCCAGTAAAGACACCACCTCCTTAGTAAGGCCTTCTCAATGCACCTCTGTTTTCTCACCATTCACACACGATACTGTCTACCTGTCCTCCCCACCTGGCTGAACCATCGTATTCACCTTTCAACCTGCCCCCACACCTAGCACCAAAACCAAACCAAACCCATTGCCACTGAGTTGATTCTGACTCATAGCAACCCTACAGGACAGAGTAGAACTACCCCATGGGGTTTCCAAGGCTGTGAAACTTTACGGAAGCAGACTGCCACATTTTTCTCCCGTGGAGCAGGTGGTGGGTTCAAACCACTGAACTTTTGGGTTAGTAGCTGAACAGCTAACCACTGCACCACCAGGCCTCCTTACACCTAGCACAGCACTTAGTATTTGCTCAATAAAAATTCGTTGAAGAATACTGAATCTGTGAGGTCAAGTGACTTGTCTTAGCAAAATCTTGTGTTTGAGAAGTACTGGCACAAACCGTCTCTAGGTATGCTGTGGGCCCATTTAGCCTTTCAAGATTTTATCTTGGGATCAGGTCAGCCTGGTGGAGCCATGTGCCGGGATAGTGCTGTTTCCCAGGCCCTGAATCCCTTTTGGAGCCCTGGTGTGGCGCAGTGGTTAAGATCTTGGCTGCTAACCAAAAGGTCGGCAGTTCGAACACACCATCCGCTCCTTAGAAACTCTACAGGGCAGTTCTACTCTGTCCTGGAGGTTCACTATGAGTCAGAATTGACTCAACGGCAATGGGTTTGGTTTTGGTTTGAATCCCTTTTACCAGAGTGTGTTTGGCTCATGTCCTGACTGGTGCTGAGGGACAGTGTAAGAAATAGCTGTGAAACATTTCTGCTGTGTTTACTACAGTGATGTTCAGGATAGTTTTATTATATGAGATCAAAAAAATTCTATGATATCTATGTTAGGAAAATATTTGCTTCTTTTGAGTAATGGTGATGCTTTTACTTTGCAAAGTGAAGTCTCCCTCTTTATTTGGCTACTTGTAAGCTCAGAGACAAATCTGTGACCCATTTTCTACGATGTGCATTGCTATGTACTAACTGTATTCTCTGGGACATGATTTGTCTATTCTAAACTATCTTTTTGTATTGCGTACATTTAAAAAAAATTTTGTTGCTGAGAATACACACAGCAAAACATAAACCAATTCAACCATTTCCCTATGTACAATTCAGTGACACTGATTACACTGAGTTGGGCAACCATTCTCACCCTCCTTTTCTGAGTTGTTCCTCCCCCATTAACATAAACTCACTGCCTGTTTTAGGAGTATTGTGGTGAGACACATTTTGGGAAGGAGGCAGGTGGCAGCACCTGCCCTGGGCACACAACCAGTAAGTACAGAGCTGGATCTGGAATCCAGGTGTTCTGATGGCTTCAGGCAGAGGTGAAAAGAAACCAAGTGGAAAGGACGTTAATGCTTCTGGGTCAGCCTCTGGGGCTTCCTAGGAACAATGAGGCACTGCCATAGACTCTGGCATTTCTGACCTTAGGCCCAAAGGGGGCCCTGGAATCTCAGGCGAAGCTGAGGTGAACAGACCAGTGAGAAAATCAAACTGCTGGCCCACTAGGCCAGGGATCCTGGGCCGGCCACACACCTTTACATAACTCTATGTGTGAGCAACAAATGTTGCTGAATGAGTCCTCCTCTGGGTTTGGCGGGTCCCTACCGCTAGAGCTGCCCATGTGGACAGCTTGGGGTTGTCTTGCCCATTGCCTGACTTTTCACTGCATTAGGTCTTAGAATAAGGACCATGTGTCCTACAGAAGGCATGACTGGTGTGGTCAAGGCAGAATAATAATCTTTGCCTACAAGGTGGCGTTAGGGCTTTTCCAAACATACGAAAGGAAGTTTCCAGTTCCCTCTTGGCTCCAAGGAAAATATTTTCAGATAGCTTTAATCCTGGGACATGTAGGGCAAGTATTGGGTATTTGGTGCTTGGAGGAAGGATGTCCTAGGAAAGTGGATAGTAGATGCTGGAAAACCAGCCTGTTCCAAGCTGCAGTCTAAGTGGGTTGGCCTGTGGCTAGCGGTCGGTGGGTTCTTAGAGGGTCTGTAGGACCTCACCAGCCGCTTTTTCGCTCTCTTGGGTACAGCTCTGTCGAAGATGCACTGGACACCGGAACACGCCCAGCCCCTTAACCAGTGGCCAGAGCAGCACCTAGACGTCTCCTCCACCACCCCGTCACCGGCCCACAAGTTGGAGTTACCCCCTGGGGGTCGCCAGCGCTGCCATTATGCTTGGGCACACGATGACATCTCCGCCCTCACCGCCTCCAACCTTCTCAAGCGCTACGCGGAGAAGTACTCAGGGGTCCTGGACTCGCCCTACGAGCGCCCCACCCTGGGCGGCTATGGCGACACCGCCTTCCTCAACGGCGCCAAGGGAGACTCCGAGCCCTGGCCAGGGCCCGAGCCGCCCTACCCCTTGGCCTCACTCCACGACGGCCTCCCGGGAACCAAGTCGGGCAGTGGGGGCGGTTCCGGAGGCCTGGGAGGCTCCCCAGTTTTAGCCGGGAACCTGCCTGAAACCCTCTACGCCGGCAATGCGTGCGGGGGCCCGTCGGCGGCGCCAGACTACGCTGCAGGCTACGGAGGGGGGTACCTGGCGCCCGGCTACTGCGCGCAGACGGGCGCTACGCTGCCCCCGCCGCCCCCAGCCGCGTTACTGCAGCCACCGCCTCCGCCCGGGTATGGCCCCTCGGGGCCTCTGTACAACTATCCCACAGGGGGCTACGCCGCGCAGCCCGGCTACGGTGGCCTTCCGCCGCCGCCGGCCCCGCCGCCTACCCCCTACCTGACCTCGGGCCTGGCAGCGCCCACGCCCCTGCCCACGCCGGCCCCATCCCGGCCGGCGCCCACCTCCTACAGCTTCCAGGCGGCCGCTCCGGCTGCGGAGGCCGGGGTCTCGCTGAAGCGCAAGGCCGCCGACGAGGTTGCAGAGGGCCGCTACCGCAAGTACATCTACGAGCCCGCCAAAGCCCCCGCGGCCGACGGCGCCTCCTACCCCACCGCGGACAACGGCGAGTGTCGGGGCAACGGGTTCCGAGCAAAGCCAACGGGAGTCGCGGAGGAGGGGTCGGGCAAGTACGGTGGCGGCGTCCCCCTCAAAGTGCTGGGCTCCCCTGTGTACGGCCCACAGCTCGAGCCCTTTGAAAAGTTCCCGGAGCGGGTCCCGGCGCCGACTCCCCGTGGGGGCTTCGCGGTGCTGTCGGGAGAGGCTCTCAAAAGCGTGGACCCGGGAGCCCTGGAGCTAGTGACAAGCAAGATGATGGACTGCGGCCCCCCTGTGCAGTGGGCAGATGTAGCAGGCCAGGGCGCGCTCAAAGCGGCGCTGGAAGAGGAGCTGGTATGGCCCCTGCTGAGGCCACCCGCCTACCCGGGCAGCCCACGCCCGCCGCGGACCGTGCTGCTCTTCGGGCCGCGGGGCTCCGGCAAGGCACTGCTGGGCCGCTGCCTCGCCACGCAGCTGGGCGCCACGGTGCTGCGCCTGCGCGGCTCGGCGCTGGGGGCTTCGGGCGCCACGGAGGGCGTGCGCCTCCTCCAGGCCGCCTTCGCGGCTGCGCGCAGCCGCCCGCCAGCAGTGCTCCTCATTAGCGAGCTGGACGCGCTGCTCGCATCTCGGGACGATGGCGGCGGCGCCGCCGCCGGCGCGCTGCAGGCGCCGCTTCTGGCCTGCCTGGACAGTGGCTGTGGTGCGGGGGCTGACGGCCTGCTGGTGGTGGGCACCACGTCGCGGCCGGCGGCCCTGGATGAGGCGACCCGCAGGCGCTTCGCTCTCCGCTTCTACGTGGCGCTGCCCGATGGTCCGGCCCGCGGGCAGATCCTGCAGCGAGCTTTGGCCCAGCAGGGCTGCGCGCTGAGTGAGCGTGAGCTCGCGGCCCTGGTGCAGGGCACCCAGGGCTTCTCCGGCGGCGACCTGGGGCAGCTGTGTCAGCAGGCAGCAGCCGGGGCGGGCCTCCCGGGTCTGCAGCGTCCCCTCTCCTACAAAGACTTGGAGGCAGCATTAGCCAAGGTGGGCCCTAGGGTCTCCCCCAAGGAGCTGGACTCGTTCGTGGAGTGGGACAAAATGTATGGCTCCGGACACTGATGGCGCAGCGGGGAGGGCGCGGGAGCCACCGCCCGTCCCACCCGGTTTCCTCCCTTTTGGAAGGGTATCTTTAAACAAACCGGGGCTGAGAGGGTGTTGGAGTGATGAATGTGGGGTGGGGAGGGGCGGGGTCTGCCGGTGGATTTTTTTCGTGGGAAGGAAAATGCTTCTGCTAGGCAGATAGATGCCATATGCGCCGTGTACTCAGGTTTTTCCTATTTATTGTGGACGGGAAGCTCTCCCTACGGACGGGACAGATCCAGGAGGGCTGGTACCCGGGGCCTAAGGAACTCCTGCTCTCTCGCCACAATCCTTTTGTCTCCTCGCTATCTGAATGATTCCCGTCCCCCGCCCCCCTGCCTCTTTCTCTGCATTTGCCTAGTTTTCTCCCTCCATCACTTTGTCCCTGAATACACCACCCCCATGCTCGCCTTATTTCTCTTTTGCTCCTCTTTCCCTCCCCCATCTCTCCATCTATCATCCTCTGTGCTTCTGTCTCCACCGGGTTCTCTCCAGTTCCCTGTGTCTCTTGCTCCCAGCGCTTTAACGCCTCTCACTGCCTGCTGTCCCTCTCGCATTCAAAGACTGCAGTGTCCCTTCACAGGAGATCTGGAGGTCCAGGGGTAGAGGAGGAGGAGGTAGGGAGTTCCCTCCACCGCTTATCCCTCACCCAGCTGAAACTTTGGGTCTTGGAGGGGCGGTCAAGCAAAAATGAAAAAATGGGGGGAAAAAAAAAAAAAAAAAACCCACCCAAAGAAGGGTTTTTTTGTTTGCTTTTGATGGGAAATCCCAGAAATGTAGCTTGTTTAATATTTTAGGCCTTTTATTTTTATAAGATGTGTAGAATTTGCTGTTTTTATTTTGACAACTCAGGAAGTAACTGACCTCAGAAAGAATGTTAGATTTTGGCTGCTCTCCTGTGTTCCTCCCCACCTTTCCCCCAGGGGAGCACATTCTCCGAGAAGACTCAGAAAGTGAGACTGTGGGGAATGGGAGAGGAAGACCCAGGGGCTGCACTCAAACCCCTGCCATCCCTGGGACAGAAGTGGAATGTATTTCTAGGGCTTCCTCCCCAGGTCCAAGGTTTTAGGCAGGGGTGTGGGGGAGTGGATGTTGGATTTGAGAAAGGAGGTAAGTCTTATTCCCTTCCTGCTGCTCTCCCCTCTGGGCCCCACCCCTCAGCCCAGTATTTTCCTGTGAAGCATTATCCAGAGTTGGGAATGCTCTTGCCCACTTCCTGCCCTAGACCCAGAAAGTAGGGAAATGGAGGGCCCTGCCCAGACTGGGAGGGCCCAAGTGGGAGGGTGACCCAGGTAGAATCCCCAGAGAGGTATCTTATCCAGCCCCTAACTTGGTAGAGGTCCCTTACAACTTATGTTGAGAAGATTCCTTTGGGAGGGAAGACAGTCTGGTCACAAGTCTGGTTGGGCACAAAATGAACCACAGACCCCAGCCTTCTTTGTCTGCTGTTTGCTGGGAGAGGCTCTGAGATGAGCTGAGCAGCCCCATAGGAGAAGGTACTCTGGGAAAGTGGGCCTCCTCCATTCCCCTAGAGCCCTAGGTCTGGAGCTTCACAGGCTGGGAGAGGGTGAAGGAGATGGGCAGGCTGTTTTCCCTGACATCAGGGCTTATTCTCAGGCCCACCCAAAGTTGCCAGCAGAAGCCCAGGCTTGGAGGCCTTTCCCTCAGAGAACCATACTCCTCTCCTTCCCACCAACTTTTCCCTTGAGGGGGCTTTAGCAGTTTGCTGCCACCCTTCAGGGAGCCCATTTCACAACTTGAGCTTTGGTCCAAAGGGGGAGACGGCCCCATATTCCCACCTCCTTTTCTTCTACCCCAGCCTTGCTTCCTGTTCCCTGCCTGCCCCTGCGGCTCCCACAGAGTCTGTGTCACCTCCCACTCCTGGCTGTGAGAGTGTCCATGGGGGACATTGCAGGTGCCAAGGTGCTGAGGGCCTGTGCTGTGCTGGCCTAGGAATGCTCGCAGGAAAGCTGCTCTACTTTTTTCCTTTTTCACCCTTGGTCTTTTTCTGACCCTCCTCTCCTTGGAGCCAGCCAATTGCAGGCCTCTGGTGCCTCCAAAACAGTGGGCTGCAGGGTCTTGGCTGTGAATGACCCTCGGAGGGAGCAGGGAGTGAGGAGGTTCTCTCAGGTGTGTGTATGTGTATGGGGTGGGGTAGGGGGAAAGTGTCAAGGAAGTGGGCTGGGATCCCAGCCTTCTGTTCAAGAGGCAGGCAGCTCTGGGGGTAGGGAAGAACTCACTGAGACCCTACAGCCTCCTGTACTGGGCTCTTCCTGTTTCCCAGGCTTGGGGAACTTTGCACAAGGAGACAGCCCCCAGGCTACTGGCATCTACCTCATGGACACTGGGGCGGGGAGGGGAAGGGCAGGTCCAGCTCTGGCAATGTTGGGGGTCGGGGCATACCAAAGAATCCAGGGGCAGGGTGTAGGGGAGGGGCAGACTCGGCAAGTTGGCCCTTTCCTTCCTCTACCCAGATTGGGGTTGGGGTCCCCTCCTCCAGCTGTAACCATTTCTACCTCATTTTGCTGCGTGTTGTACATGGACGTATTTATCTCCTGTCTGATGATGCTCTGCAGTTGTGGTCTGTCTACCTCAGAAGAGACTGTATTTTAAAAGAAAGTATTACACAGTATTAAAGTGATGACATGTGGTTTCCAGAGAATTTCTTGGGGGTAGTGGATGTGGGGAGCTCTCGAGGGGATGCTTGGGCATCCAGGTCTGCTGGGGCTCAGGATGTGGTTTTGTGGGTGTTTCTGTTCCTTCAGAAAAAAGTTATTGCGGGGCTCCAGTTATTCACCCTGCTACAGTGAGTGCCTACCAGGTGCCGGGCCCTGAGTCTACAGGGTGAAAAGCCACACGAGGGCTCTGGAAAGCCCCTGGAAAGGGAGGGCCCTCCTACAGTTCTGAGCTCTGGAAGGGTCAGAACTGGCGTGGACTCGTCGTATCCCCAGAGCCCTGCAGTGGGAGGGGCAAAGAAGGGTTCGTATGTTTACTGAATGAGTAAATGAATGAAGCGATGAATGACTGGAGGAAGGGGCGCTGAAGAGGAGGACGTTCATCCAGAACCTGGACAGCAGCCCCGGTTGAATAGAGCCTGGGTTGTGCTTGTATCTCCTTTGATGGAGGGAAAGTGGGCAGAGGACAGGGTGTGGAGACAGCTGAGTTCCACTCTTTAAGGTCACATGGAATCCTTTGTCCACCACCGTCAGTCCCCAAACTATCCATGGCAGCACATCATAAACTGAGACTGTGGGAAAACAGGGAAAGGAACCTCTTGCTGAAAAAGCACTGTGGAGATGCCCGCGAGAGAGGTTAGGACCCACAGCTTCCTGAGGCCCCTGAATGCTCTAAGCAAAATCACTGAAAAGGCACAAGAGCTCAGGGGGAGCAGTGCACCCAGGCTTTCTGCTGAGGGTGCACCACAGACTTTCAGGAGGCAGAACAAGGACATGGAAAGATCCTGCAGAGATAGCTTCTCCAAGAGAAACAATTGTGGGTGTGCCTGGATATGGGGGCTCCATGGCATTGCCCCAGTGTTCAGCAACCCCTACCCTGTAGGCCCTTGGAGGCCCAGACTCCCCATCCTGTTCTTCTGGTTTGCCTGAAGGTCTGCTTCTGAAAGGTCACAGCCTTGAAAACCCTATGGAGCACAGTTCTACTCTGCACTTGTGGGGTCGCCATGAGTCAGAATCGATGACAGCAATCAGCAACAACTCTGTGCAGACATAGTGTGGCACTGAGGGTACAGAAATGGGTAAGGGGGGGACCCTGTCAAATTCATCTTTATAGTCCCACATTTTGCACGGTATCTGATACATAGAAGATAGAATAATTTCCAGGTAAGTGCCCTGATGGTGGATGCACAGGCTATTTTAAGAATGCCCAGAAAAGACCCCAACTTGCTTTGATGGTGGTGGTGGGGTGTCAGGAAAACGTTCAACAAAGCTATGGAGACTGGAAACTGCACTGGATGTGTGGGGCCCTGCCACAACAAGAGAGCAAGTGAGGGCAGGAGTGGGGAGAAGAGGCTGGAGGAGTCAGCTGAGACTGGACCACAGAGGGCCTTCCATACCCTGTTAAGAGCTGGGGCTCAACTGTGAAGCCTGGGGAGAGGGTCATGAAAGAAAGGGGGTGGCTGTGGACAAAGTCTGAATTGGAAGTCAAGAATTCACACATGGATTCAACAAATCTTTACTGAACACCTATTATGCACAAGTTGCTATAGGGATGATAGATGGCCTTTGCAGTCTAATGGGGGAGAAAGTTAAAAAGGCAGAGCTGCAGTGTGCTATGGGAACTGATAGGAGGAGTACCTAATGGAGACATGGGCAAGGTGTGTGCTGGGTCATGGAGGCCTTCCCAGAGACCTCCAGCTGAGACTTCACAGCAGGAGTGACCCAGGCAGAGCAGAGTGCAGGCCAAGGTCCAAACGAGAGAGCCAGACCCAAGCTTGCTTAGGGGAAATGAAAGTAGTTTAGGTAAGTGGGGCCCCAGTCTGTGGCAGGGGATTGGAGGAGGTGATTACCTTGTCCCATCCAAAGAGGATGCAGGTTTGGATTAGGCAGGTGTGGGAAGAAGGGAAATGATGCAGTCTATAGATACTTTGTAGGTGACAATTTAGGAATTGACTGGATATTGGAGATAGTGGAGAGCAAGGAGTCTAGGGCTTCTGGTGGGGCGGGGGTGGGGGGTAAGGGGGTGAATTAGGAGAGATGAGTTGAGTCTGAGGTACTAGTGGGACAGCAGGCAGGTGTTTAAATACAGTGGCCCAGAATCCTAGCCTCCTTGGAGAGGCTAATAGTCCCATCCAATCTCTGGGTATTGGGAAACCTGCTTTCTCCAGTTCTTGGGTCTTGGGAGACCCACCTCTCAAAATTCTCACATGCTGGAAACCACCTCGGTGTTTCTTATTGCTGGGAGGCCCCTCTCCCCCAGTCCCTGAGTGTTAAAATCTCTCCCTCCCTGTATTCTGGGAATCC